ATCTAAATAATATTAACTTATAACGAAAGAATTAACTATACTAGGATGTGTGTAATTATTATGTGACTTAAGATAGATAAAAATTGATAATAATTCAACCCACACCGTATCAAGATGGGTTGTACCACTACGAGAGAGAAAGAGAGAGAAAAAAGAGAAAGAGAGAGAGTAAGAGAAAAAAAACATAGGAAATATCAGAGGAAAGAACTACGAATACAAATCGCACAAAAAAAATACCCACTATATCTTTGCTGGAAAAAAAATGAACAACACAGAAAATTCATTTTATGATACCATGTTACAATTCTTTATCTCAATTTCAATTTATGATCATCTTCTTGCTCTTCGAAGAATCTTTACTTGAGTATCAATTATTGATTATGTTACTCATTGATACTTCTCATTCTTACCGTACCTTAAGTTAGCGTTTAAACGTTAGATCTATCGTGTATCTATCATTATACATAGTATCGTATGTAATGGTATGGACTCTGTATGTCGGACGCAGGGCAGTTCCTAGGTATTCGATTCCGTAAGCGAACGACCACCACTAAACAGGCATTTTTTTAAAGGGAGCCTTTCGCATGCGCTTTAGTATTTGCTTTAGTACGCTTTTAGTACCTCGGTGGCATCGCGTCTGCCGGACCTGGGAAGCTAAAAGGTCAAAAAAATGAAAAATCGCACAATTAATTCCTCTTTGATCACCGCAAGCGGCGCAATAGGCTGGAAAGTATAAGATGTAACACTTGATATGCGCGAATTAAATTAGAAATTCTTTCTTTCTTCCGTCGATTATTTAATCCTGTCGCTGAAGATACTAAGGGAACCTAATCCCTTTTCATAGTATTTGTCGCAACGCATGGAACACACATTTATCGAATGATATAACTTCCAGACTTGGGTAAAATACTATGGCATCACAATACTTATTCTATAATAATACCCATTGGACGATACTATAAGATTAAGTATTGTATTATATCCACGCTGCATGTGTGATATAATAAAAACAAGTAATAATGTCCCTTATTGAGTAAACATTGTAAGTAATTCATGGATGAAACTTGAAGTCACTAAAAATTCAAGTGTCACGATTATTTTACGATCTTCATATCAGAGATATTTGTCACTTGAGATTGTAGTACAATGGGCTAGCACTAGCCGTATTATATTGATTGTTCCCAAGTCTGATAAGTTGTCACATGTTGAAAATCATTTTATCGCCGCATCCAAGGCATTTTTTACCATTGTCGCAAGAACGTATAGAAGACGATTTTAGTAGCCGTTAATATGTATTTTCGATCCACGATTCGCGTTTTCAATCATATTAAAGAAAAATTTCCGTTATAAACGTTGAAAACGTTTTTCTCCTTAGATTGTTTGAAACGGACGCAATAGAAATATCGCAACGCAATCGTAAGAAACCCGTGTCTCAGCTGTAGTTAGATAAATCTTGAAACAGAATACACACGTTTTCCCAGCATAACTATGTTTCAAGTAAAATAAAAATTGACCGCACGCATCTTGAAAACGTATGTGCTGCTTAGAGGCGCAGTGTGTCGTAACGCATGAAAACTTCGTTTATGATAAATCGCAACTAACTTCGATCACGTGGGCGCTCAATTCGTGAACTTTTACCGCAGAGTACACAAAAGAAGAGAGGTAGCATTTGATAAATGACTTTTCCTCAACGGTTGTAAATAAATAGTAATGATCATCGTATCTTTACTTTGTTACCAACATATTAACATATTCTTGTGCTTTGTTTTATTTAATTTATAACGAATAAAATGGTATCATTAAAATTCTTGCAATTTATATCAACATTGACCATCCCTTTTCATTAAGATCACATCCAGGTGGTTCCATTAAATTCTCGTTGCTCGTTAAAGACGCATTTCATATCCTGTACTTTGTACCTTTAACGACTGTTCAGTCTAGTTACAATATCAATTTCAGATAATTAATCTATTAAATAAAATATGGCAATCTACAAGAATGTGAAAAAAAGGAATAAAATGAGAGAATAAATGAACAAACTACCTCTGTTCTCTTTTACACTCAACATTAAAAAAGTTGCAGGGCGATTATTTTTATTTTTTCCGACAATAATAAATCATTTGTGTGTCGTTGCATATACAAGAATACGCCTTTTATAATCAAAGGATATACCCACCGTCGCGCTAAGTGTCACACCTTATACTTTTACAGAAAATGTTTAGCCTATATCAATCCGCAATAAAACGTGAGCACTGAGGTATTTCAGTGTTAGACCGAATAGAATACATTGCGCAAAAAGAGCGTGGTCGCATAATTAACGAACGATCATTCGCAGAAATTAATTATCGCTCTTCAACGCTGTGATGTCACTTTGGAAAACGCAGTCGTGTAAAGTGTAATATACGTAATGAAAACAAGAAAGAATAAGACTTACCGTCCACCACCGCGCGGGGGACCATAAGCATCTGGTCTGTCGTATCCCTCGGTATAACTATAAATAAAAGTAAACACATTTTTATTTTATTCGAATAATAGTATCAACAATAAATATGTAAATAGAGACCCATATTAAAAGTCAACCTTCTGAACCAAAAAATAATACAAACTTTCCTTAACTCATTGAAGTTCTTAATCTCACTACGATCTACAGTGAACATTGGCTAATTGCAACACTCAAAGGGACCGGAAGGTTGCAATTATGAAGAGGTAGAATCGAATCGGCCCTAAAAAACGAAGATTTTAACTTGGCGGACGTAGAAAAAGACAACGCGAGTAAAGAAAAAATGAATGAAACTTTCACCGTCGTGTTTGTTATGTTCTACTGATTAAAAGGACACCCAAATACGATAAAATTACGATCACAATTGCTTATATAATAAGCGATTAAAGTTACGGATATAGAAAAGGACTACGAATAGAAAAGAAAGAGACGTTGAAATCGCCGAGTTCGACGAAAGTCCGATCATGTTACACCATTCGACCGCGACCGGTTATCAAGCGCTATGGTGTATTAAAAGGAACCTGGTGGGGATATGGTAGGGATAACGATGTTACAATTATCCGATGTTCAATGTACTGATCATATTAGAGAATCTTAAAAAATAACAATTAAATGAAATGCTAGTATGGATATGAAATATTACATTATTATAGAGAATAATCGAAATATGACAATGTTATATAAACATGAATTTAACTTACCCTCCACCAACAGGCGGATATCCACCACTGGGGACGGCACTGCCGGGTCTTCTACTAAACATATCTGCTTGTGGTCCAGGACCAGTGCTGTAACTAGGTGCCCCAGTGCTGTAGCTAGGTCCAGTACTCATTGGCCTGTTAAATGGAGTCATATCATTAACAGGGGGACCATCCCTCCTGTCGTAGGCCATCGAAGCTGCCTGACTTACCCCCCCGGGCCCACCCATCATATCCCCAGGCCCGCCCGGATAACCCCTGTCATACACAATTGGGATACGTTAACTTATTTTCACTCTATCCTGGATAATGCACCAAAACTTTTGCTCAAATAATATTAATTTAAGATACATTGGTCTTAGATACATTAGATTAGTAGAAGCATCACAGGTTAGAATAAAAATGAAGTTTCAATTCGTAACTGTTTTCTTGAATTTTTAGGAAACGAAAACTTCTGTTCTTTTACGAAATACTTCTTTCAACACGTCCCCTGCCACTGTAGAAACACTGTCGACATGGCACGGGACGTCTCGTGTGCCCCACCCGTCGACATTGTTTCAATGTTGCTCGCGGATACACAGACGAATTACCGCACACACTTACAACTACAGAATAATCGATGCAGCTCTTTGACGGTCTTTAATGCCACTTCGATCTAATATCATATTACATTTTCTTTTGCGACATCAGAAATTCGCTATTATTGTTGGCAGAAGCTTGTGAATGTATTAGTAATTTACCTAAGAAAAGATAGAATCAATGGCTTATGGTAGTCCTTAAAATTTTCTGGATGGCAGCGAACGTGTTAAAGAAATTTATCAGGAGTTTTATTTTTGAGAAAAGTATACACGTTTCTTTGGTTTCGTAATACATGCTAACTTAAACCTTTACTACTAAAATTAGTTACTTCAAAAGATAAAACCAAATATGGTTTATTCGGGTGTATTAGTGAAAAGTGATCCGACGTCAAATCATAAAATTAAATCTAAAGCTGGGAAGTAAATAATATAAATTACTTTACCAGTGACTTTCATCATATCCTACATCTGAGTACCCTGTTCCATACCCAGTAGTGGCAACAGCGCCACCACCGTTTCTCATAGGTCCAGTTGCAGTTCGATCATAGTCATTTCTGGCTGTGTAATCAACTGTACGGTTTGCACCGAAATTATCAGTACGTCCATAATCCATAGGACCTGGTGCACCACGATTAAAATCTCCAGTCATTCCACCT